TGTGTGTGTGTGTGTGTGTGTGTGTGTGTGTGTGTGTGTGTGTGCGTGTGTGTCAGTGTGTGTGTGTGTTTATGTGACACCCACGGCGGGCAATTCGGCCGCCGTGGCCAAAAAAATCAGCCCCAGCCGCGGGCGCCAGGCCGAGTTTGTGGCCCGATATTTCGGATGTTTTTCGGGGGGTCGAAAAATAAGTGGAAAAAAAAACAAAAAAAATGGCGTTGTAGTGTTTTGAAAACCCTACAACCCCATATTTTTGTTTTTTGAATTTGACTTCATTTAGGATTTATAAAAAATGAAAAAAAACAAATCAGTTAAAAAGACAAAAATAAAAATAAATAAAAGAAAAGCAGGATTTTTTTTTTCCATTTTTTGCGTGACTGATATGGAGTCAATGTAGTCAGGAAATCACGCAATACAAGTAAAGCATGTCCAATCCAATTGCAAACTCAGTCAAAGGACAAAGTAGGACAAGGAATTGGCAAAGTACAAATCGTAGAAATTTACGGCAACAAAGAACAGTCCGCACACCCAGGAACCACCGTTCGTTCTGCTGACCCATCATCAGCTATACGCCAGCGCGAAAGCGCTTGCGAGAGCTAACGTCCCATAAGAGGCCTAACGAATTTGCACTTAGTCTATTTGTAGGGAAACACGTATAGTACTATCAGGGACACTTCCAAAAACGGTACCCAGTACCAGGCCCAGGAAGTCCGGGACCCGATGCCCCGATGGGTAGACTATCGCAACAGGACAACTGGGTCCGGGTCCACCCCAAAAAACACTAAACTACTAACCCGATAACTGCAGCAAAAAAGTACCCATAAGAACGGGCCCAGCTGACTCGGTCAATGCTTGAGAGGTTACGGTGCTCAAAACCAACGGCGCAGGTTCAAATCCCTGGGTTCACAACATCAAGAAAAGCTATACTAATCCAACGAAGCAAAAACGAAACAACCAATCAAAAAGTCAATGCCGCTAACCGTTGACCACAGCCCCGTCCATCGAAAAGCCATACTAATCCAACGAAGCAAAGACGAAACAACAACTCAAAAAAATACAGTACCGCTAACCGTTGACCACCGCCCTGTCCGTCGATTTCGGGACATGCAGACACTGGCAACCAGCCATACCCGGAAGAAGCATTAACATTCTCCATGGTGTCTTAATTACCATCCTTCCAGAAGGGCAAGGGTTTGTTTCCATATATCATCTGTTCGAAAGGCAAACTTGCGAAGAACTCTCCCGAAAAAGCCCATAGGAAAGTCCTTGATCCTCAATTCACGTTTTAGTGAGAGCCCCCTCCCAGGAATTTCACTGCAAATGGAGGTGTTGTGATCGATCCGATGGAGGTAGCTGCTAATAGTGGAACTCTTTTGCTGTTTACTACCCCAGAATCGGAATGACATTGAGGTAACACAAGAATAGGGGTAGGTGTGTGTGCACCTCACCTCACAACTGGAACTATTTTATCTCAAGCTTCCCTTCTGACCAAATGCTTCATTCGTTCCTTGATAACTGGACGCAACCTAAATAGGGGTAGGTGTGTGTGCACCTCACCTCACAACCCAAGAATTCCAAGATGCCAGAACCATCATCGGTCCTTTTAAGGCACAAGTTCTTGGGATAGCAAGCATCAAACTGTTGCACAACCCAAGCCAACTCGGTACCCAAAAGAGATGCAGTTACCAAGATTATATCATCGACCAGGCGAATTCCGAAAACCATCCTTCCAAATTTTCCCAAACTATTCAGAAACGTGCACTCTGAATAGGCGCATAGGATGCATGCCAAAGGAGGGCCCGTGGCCTTACTCATCGGGATACCCACATCCTGTCTAATTAGGACACCCGTAGCAAAAGTATGTGTATGATGCAGCTCGATCAACAGGAATTTTGAAACATCCTCAAGGTCCAATGAACGCCAATGATCAGCCCCGGTGGTTCGTCCGAAAGAACATCCCTTTCCCCTACTGTTTACTCTAACGAACTGACGTCCCTTCTTCCTGTGGAAATCCAACAGCCACTCCAAAGCCTTAGAAATCTCATAATGTGGAAGGCGGCTAAACATGTCCTTGATGTCAAAGGACCAAGCCGCCACGTCAAAAGGGCAACGGACAGTGCCGACCCTGTGAATGTGACCGGCACCGGTCACCTGTCCGTGACCGGCTGGTCACCGGGCCTGAAATCCGTGAACGGCCGTTCACGGTGAACGGGCCGACCACTAAAGAGTGGTGTTTTTTTTTTCTTTTTTTTTTTTTTTCTTTTTTTTTTTTTTTTTGGGGGGCTCCCCCAGGTACATTCGCCTCAAGCCCCACAGTGTGATGACATTGAGAAAACTAAAAAAAATCGAAATGACCTACAAAATAGCAAATGAAATTTACGAAAATGCTTATTTCAAGTTATTTTGGCTGGTTGAATTTTTTTTTTCGTTTTTAATTAAAAAAATATTATTCATGAAAAAAAGATTGAAACAATTATAAGGAGTTACCCTTCGATGTCCCCCACCCTCCTATCAAAAAAAAAACATAGCCCCCCMGCCAAAAAAAAAAAAAAAAAAAAAAAACACTCTCCGCGAACTCCATGAACTCCCGTGTCGTGAACTCCATGACCGGTCTCCGTCCACAGACCCCGTGAACAGTGAACGGGGGTACGGCACTGGCAACGGAGACGTCGAATCTTTGAGTTGATGAGTTCAAGCCTCGCTGTCAGCTGTGAGACAGCAGGCAAGTTGAAATGACAGTTTTGTGGTAGCTGGGATAGCAGATAGTTCAAACCTCTGGTGACCACCCTACCTCAGGCTACCTGTGCGGACCATTGGTTTCACAAAGGTAGGGCAGATCGGGCGGTATCTCATCAAGTCCTTATGTATTGGAATGATATAAGCGGAACCGAATTGCCCATTTGCATCCCACTTGGCAAACGTCTTAAGACCTGCAGCATTGACATCCTCACAGATTTCTCTCAATAACACACTTTGACTGGCCAAGATCACGCGGTAGCCCGGATTCCTGGTGAACATATCCATCATTGCATCATAGTAGATTTTTGGGCACATGACCACTGTTTCCCCGGGGTTACGATCGAGGGGAGTCAATATGAGACCATCAAACCGACATTTCAACTTGGTCACATCCTGCATCGACAGAAAGGGTTCACATTCCTCACTATTCCTATTAATACAGTCAGACAACACACAGTCCGTGATACTCGGTAGCGCCCCTGAAAATTTCTCCAGCATTGAAAACCCTCCAAAATCTCAGAACGTAACAGCTTCAATCGGTCGGCAACATATTCCTTCGGAATATTGTTGGCATTCGTTAGCAAGGGATGATCTACCATACACTCATCCAGGCGAAAGTGCACGTGCCCATCCACACGCAGATAGGGTAGGCCTGAACATTGACAGGTCAGCACATGTCGGGATGCAAAGGCCCGGTGATTGTGCAATATCTCGCCGATCGTCGGGTTTTTCTCCCAGACAATGCGGATCTTCTTACGAGCATGATGCAAAAAACATATCGGTAGTTCACAACTCATCAACGAATCATTGATCAACTGAGGTAGTTCACACAAACTTCGCCGATCATCAAACTTAACTTTAATCAGCAAATCAGATTTGAGGGTAAGGTTGAACTTCTCCAAAAACAACCGAGAGACCAATCGACGGAGGTACTTGCGTGTCGACTTCCGAGAGAAATCCTTAATAGCACCGTACACACGTAAGATCGAACACATACTCCATCGGTAAAATTTATCGATCTTACGAGGGTTCTTCAGGACGGACAACAACTCATGCTTCAAATATGTGCACTGTGGTCTCCACGCAACCAAACATTGTATAACCAATCGACCTCCTTCCTCAAACCAGGATTTACACTGGTTGAGTAAACGGGTCTCGTTCAAGCGTGTTACCTTGGAATTACCGAATGATTTAGCGAGACTCTTCCACATCCCTTGCCAAGTATTACCCCCGCTGCTAAACACTTCAAAAGATTGCACCCCAGCCGAATCCTTTTCCTTAAGTACAGCGTACAAATCCAAGCACCAAGCATCAGCAAAGTGTGTACGGAAGCGTAGTGGCGCAATCTTACGATAGTCCGTACTCGCGCAATCAGTCCTGCGCCTCTCATTCCTTCCTTTGTTTCGCTTCTTACGAGAGCAACTCCCCATCCTCTTAACGCCCGAAGTGTTCAAATACCGGGACCACTGCCGTATATATATACCCACAAGCTATGTTAGCTCAAGGTAAGACTAGGAGGAATGTGGACGTTCGTTGACGCGAACACCTATACGCTAGTCGTAATCGTAGACCAAATCACTTCTATCGATGGTTAGGTTCCTTTGGGGTTGAAAACTACATCCTTATTCCTGTGGACTTAAACTACGTCCTCATTCCTGTGGACTCAAGAGTCCACAGGAATGAGGACGTAGTTTTCGACCCCAAAGGAACCTAACCATCGTTAGAAGTGATTTGGTCTACGATTACGACTAGCGTATAGGTGTTCGCGACAACGAACGTCCACATTCCTCCTAGTCTTACCCACATATTCAGATTTGCAAAACCGGGATACAGCGATATACACACAATCAGTAATATTCACAAAGTTTGTGCCGAAGATCTCATACAGGCGCAACCATGCACTAACACATTTTTTCATCCAGCATAGCGTACTAGATATGGAAAATCGAACAATCACTAAACGAAGTTCTTCAACCCCAACATCAACACAACTATTCTTAGCTCTCCACCTTGTAAGGCAACCGACAATTTTCCAAAGGTCAGTAATACTGAAACCACATCACTCGGTTTCCTGCTTACCACCGTCTACAGCTACAGCTACAGTATCTCCGGATTGCGACGACTCCTCTTCACTTTCACCATCAGTGTCGTAAGCAACGCGGGTACGGTGAGCGGCAATATCGAATATAAATTTGAACTTGTCGTTATACGCGATCCCTTCCTCCTTGCAGATGTTCTGCAACACCAGTGCATCAAGGTTCTTGAGATCATTCAAGACCTGCTTCTCGTACTTCAAGCGCCCGATGATTCCAATCGATGCAGGATTCTTCTTGCGAATGGTTGGGGGAGTCTTCTTCGGCATCGGAGTCTTGTTCTTCACACGCATTTGAGATCGCGTAAATCTCGCGGTTAACTTCGCCGGTCTCATAAGTCGCCTCGGGGTACGTTTTGGAGGGAGCTCCATTGGGGGGCTATCTTGAAAAACAGGTTCAGGTCCCTGTTTCCTCTTTTTGGAGATGCAGAGTTCGCATGTGCGATTGCTCAAATCTTCAGTCTCGCTGCTACTCGCACTGCTCTCGGATCCGGTCGCGGGTGCTTCCTTACTATTTCCTCGTGCAACAGCCCCAGATAACTTGCTAATCGCTTCACGGATCTCATTTTTGAGGTCTTCTCGTACATCTTCCCGTAGCTCACCGATGCGCACCGCTACCTTGATGTCCAGGTTCTTGTTCATTTCTTCCAAACGCTCAGCTTCCTTCCTCGCTTTCTTGTTCTCGTTCTTCTTCTTCTTTTCCCTCTCCAACTGCCTAGGAAACTGCACATTCATTGAACGCGGGTTTTGTGTTCAGAAACTGAATGCTTTGAACGGGCGTTCTCAACTTGAACGGGTTTGCGGCTAAAAAGAAACGGAAAATAAACAATGAAAAAGGAAGAAAACGAAAAAAAAACCTTACCTGCATCTGTGTGTGTTGTCCTATTCACTGTACACGTTAAAATATGCATGACTGTGCCAGATTGTTTCGGCGGACTTTCACGGAGTCTATGTGTGTGTGTGTGTGTGTGTATATGTGTGTGTGTGTGTGTGTGTGTGTATATGTGTGTGTGTGTGTGTGTGTGTGTGTGTGTGTGTGTGTGTGCGAGTGTGTATGTTGTGTGTGTGTGTGTGTAGAAGAGCAAGCTCCTGTGTATGTGTGTTTGTGCGCACTAGCGCGCAGTTCACACACACACACACACCCTCGAGCTTTTTTTTTTTTCGCCCGCCACAACTTCGTCTGCCTCCTCATCTTCTTCTTCTTACTCCTGCTCCACTCCCCCTCCTCGTCCTCCTCGTCTTCTTCGCCGTCCTCCCTGTCCTCCTCCTCCTCCTCGTCCTCCCTGTCCTCCTCCTCCTCCTCCTCCTCCTCCTCCTCTGAGAATGTGCCACGTGGCTACGTGACACCATCGGCCGCGGATCGTGTGGCCGAGACCGCGCGGCCGAGTTCGCCCGCGGCCGCGCCATGCCCATGCGGGGCCGTGCGCTCAAAATCGGCGAGCGTGCTCGGCCTGCACATGTCGGCCGCTATCGACCTATAAAAAAAAAAAAAAAAAAAAAAATTTGGGGGGTTGGTTTTTTATGTGTGACAAAAAAAAGAAAAATAGAAAAAAAATAAAAATCGATCGATTGATTATTTTTTTATTGACTGATTGATTAATTGATTGATTGATTAATTGATTGATTGATTGGTTGATTGATTGATTGATTGATTGATTGATTGATTGATTGATTGATTGATTGGTGGGGGGGGGTCCTCCCTCCCCTGCCCCCAGCTCACACACACACACACACACACACACACA